CAACCACTGGGTAGCAACTTACAACTCAAGCTGGACCATGGATGGTCTAATTAAAAACCGGTGCTCATGACCTTGAATAACATTTGTGGTCGTGACCTGTTCTCGATCTGAATGACATGATATTCAGTCTGATTTATTTTGCAGGTAGCTTGCAAATATTTCTACTGGCATTGGAAAAAAACATTTTGCAGAAATGCCAACGTCAATGTAGGAAAAAAGCAGTTACTTGATTTTGAGACATACATGAGCCACCAAAATAACGTACCGGGAAATTTGCGTCACTTCTAATCAGCAAACACTGAAGCTGATACAGAGAGCTTATTTGTCTCATATTAGCCAGGTATAAACTAAGCTAAAATATGTGAAAGCGTATTTTCTATTCTAACACAAAAAGTACATGAAGCCTTAAAAGAGTAATCTAGGATGATATAAATAGCCGCTGTGGGGCACATAATCTATCGCTTCATCACTTATGTCCGTATTTAGGCAAAACTGTACGAAAATTTAGGGAAAGCCGTCTGGATTGCAATTTGCTGGATAAGCGAATTTGGTTGGACGCACAAATAATGAAAATAGATGACTACTATTATAGTTTCGTACACCATACTGAGTTTCTCGCTCCAGCTGCTCCGCACAATAGTAAATAAAGATGCTATTATCATATACATAGGATGCACAAGAGTCAAGTAAGAAAACTAACCAATCACAAGAGTTTTTATGCACATAAGATAAAAGGTGAAAGTCATTTCAGGTAACAGGTCAAAGAGGATATCTGGAATAGACCATCAACTAAAATAATATTTTTCAGGTGCACCGTTTCAAGCGTATGAGCCTGAGTTATTCTTTCCCTTCAGCCAAAATCTCCCGGTTCACTATGGAAGAAATATGGACGATCATTCAGACTGAATGAGTAAAATTAATGTCGTTTGCTTTGAGTAAAGCCTACGTTTGAGAAAACCCAGCCTGCTGTTCTATTAGCGGTATTATAAAGCAGTTTAACTATGTTGTTAACACGTGTCTCGGAATCTCAAATTTACTTGTGTACATAACAACAAAAGCATATACCGGTGTGTGTATTCACATTATGGGTCCACTTCAAGTCAGCAGTAAACCTAGGTAACATAAACAAATGAAGCCTTAGCTCAAGCCTTCAAATCCAGTTCACTCACAAATATCGTATGGTATTGTAGTATGCAGATGGACTCACAGTCCCGGTATTTTGTATTTACCTCGTTCTTCAGTTAACCTTAGCTACAAGTTATATCTGTTGCGTATGCAGACTGTAGCACGGCCTGCACCTAAACAACTCGATTTTTTTTCTGCGAAGTACCACCAACCTTGGCTAGGGTTTTTAGTCTTTCGGGGAGGAAAGGTCAGAAGCCAGGTAAGGGTTGATTGACAACGATTTTTTGTTACTTGTGAGACTGTATTACATGTCTTTCTAGTTAGTGCATAAAATTCTTTCATCAGCCAGTGCCTTTGTGTGCATAATCATTATTCATTTTGATGATCTCTCATATTGCGTGCTCCTTTGGTGCTTTGTGTCTGTAACTAGGCCAAAACATGGTTACGACACACACCACTGTCTTTCCAGATGTGTTTCGGAGGGTAGTTCACACCCACATTTGAATGCCTGTCTAACAGTGTTTGGAAGCACACTGTACCGGTCAAGAAATAAGGCAGCTTTCCGAAAGGGTATCAGAGACAAACTCTTACGTATACACTCCAGGGCTACAGATAATTCACTGATTCGCGTATCATATCATAAAATTATACGTGCTTCACAAGTAGTAGTTGTGCGCGGGGAAGTTGCCTAGTGTCTAACTAGGCTGAGCTGGATTCCCATACCTATGTATTCGTTAGATCAAAATCGAAAGTGAGAGATGCCGTCCTTCATCATCAAAATGATTAGATCCGAACCCACAACGAGGACAGCGACGAGAACTGTTACAACTTTTGACAGTTTGGACAATCACCCGGAACCCAACGGTTCTTCAGCTGACGGGAAACAGAGAACTCTGCCTACCGGATGAGCCCCAAGAAGGCTGGAACTGGCCTTGGACTATCGAAGAGTTTTCGGCAAACTTCTGTTCAGTGTGTTACGTTAGTTGCATCTTTATTTATGATGGGATGTTCAGTATTCTTGGGGGTAATGTAAAAAGTGGTTGCACAAGCTTAAAGTGTAAGCGAGGTAGTAGTTACACATCACTTCATGTGATACATTGGATAGTGATAGGTTATTCGCCTTTGAAAATGTTTACATCGAATGCATCAACAAACACCAGATTGTGTACTCAACACCAACAGCAAATATCTGGACCAAGCGACTGAAATGCAGACATTAGTGCACTAGAATACCACGGATACTTCACATTTTTTAATAGCATACCTAAAGGCATGCGCTACACTGTTAAAGAAAAGGGTTTATTCAAAACGGACCAAAGGGGAAACTGTCCAGTGAAGTTGGATGGTTACATGGCCATCCAGTGACATTTTATCATGTTTCTGATTTTTCAGCCAGGGCATCGGTTTTAAACCGGCACAATAACCAGAGTTCGAGATTCTTAATCTCTGGCTATTCCCTATCAGACAGACCTGCGCCGGATATGGGTGTTGCACGATGAAAGCGTGAGGTTGCGGTAACTAATGAAAACAAATAATGAAGAGCATAAATAGTCATATTTCCGGTTTACCAGTGAAGCGTAGGGACCGACTCAACCCGATATGCTGCTGGTTATTGATGTTAGCCCTTGACCAAATTATCATGGTAAACTTTCCCCTGTCTTTCCACACAAGCTTGCCTGGCAGCCTATTTCGCTTCGCACCACCCGTATGTAACTACCTAATCAGACAAACTACCTCAGTAGGCGTTCACCTGTTCCGTTGAAAGATCACATATTTCTCTACTCGGATAGGTAGTCGTTTTGACTTTGAGAATTTTACCTATCTTCGGATTGACGATATTCTTCGGGTGACGCATTCCGACATATTCTTAGCTATGACATGGAGGCAAGTTTCTGATGAGGCTGAAAACATACACTTTATGCTGCTATATCCTAATTTTCACGCCAAAGCTCATTATAAAATATAGGCTGTGCCAATGGGCTTTGTCCTGATACCATTCTGTTTCAACCCCGGTTGCACGCAGTTCGCAAACGACTCTTAGCTACTTTTCAGGCACTACGGGGAAACAACTCTGGTACGCTGAATGAATAAAATTCATTAAAAAGAAGCGATCTCAGAATCTCTAGGGGAACATCACGTGTCACCTTGTAAGAGACAGTTTATATACAATTTCGATAAGTGCAAGATTTTTGTGGTCCACAATTTTTATCCTTAAGGAATTTATTGGGTTACCAAACCCACTCACTTGTCAGCAAGTGTCTTGTATATAGTCATGCTTCTCGCAGTTAATTCTCGCTTGATTATCGAGTGTCGGTCTCTGATAGCTGGCAAACTATGTGAAACCCATTCCCTCACTTGACAGGGTTCTATGATGCTACATACAACGTCCGTATTCAAAGTTTCAGAATCAATGAGCAGTAAAACCATTGCACGTTTTCCATGGAAAGTTTCTGTGACATGAACTGTCATGTATATCAGCTAAAATTCACGATTCTTGTACGCAGTTTAGCGCCACAGTGGAAGGTGACGTTACCGCGAAGATAAATAAGTCGATAATAGTGTGTGGAATATCCTGTTCGGATGGACACTATCAGATATTGGACACGTTTAATAGAGCACTGATAGAATGAAACAATGAAATCCCTTAGAAATGGCCCTCATTCAAAAGGCGGTCACATTGAATGATGTGTCATTAGCAGAAGAGTGAATGTCATTCGATGACCCTTTCTTAGGGGTGCCAATGAGATGCATAATCAACCCTGGCTCCACGGTTTGCGTATTACTTATAAAGCTGGAGACTCATCTGGAACCCAGCTGAATCTCTCGTTTGTGATGTTTCTTCAGGAAACTGAATGTGCTGCACCAGGCCGCCTCACGTTAAGTTGCCACGATATTCGAGATATCGCGATACATGTATATTTGTAATGCACTACTCATAAGGTTGCTGAAAATTCATCGACAGCCCACAACAGGTTTCACCCTTCTTGAGGCCCATCAGGTAGGCGCAATCCTCAAGTTTCCGTCAAATATTTGTTCTACTTGAGACCAAATAGCAGAAAATGAGCGAAATGCACTCATGTGCAAACTAATTTGGTTATGCGAGAGATCCACCTGGAACCCAGCTGAATCTCCCGTTTGTGTTGTTTCCAGGCAACTGAATGTTGTGCACCAGGGCGCCTCATGTTCCGGTCGCGAAACCGGTCGTGGGCTGTCGACGAATTTTCAGCAACCTTATAAGTAGTGCACTGTTCAGCTATTGACCAATGCGAAAATCTGGAAATTCTTCCGTGAGTAAAAAAGTCATCTGTATTGTGCTGGTCTACAAATGTCGCTGCGTGTCTCAGATTAGGTCCAACTTCATTGATATGTCCTTCGTCACGCTTGTACATTCTGACATATTTTCGAAATGAGCTTTGTTCAATCTCATTCGTCTTGGATGACGAAATATTCTGCTGCCCTGCCTTGGAAACAATAATCTCTTTCATGGGGGGCAACTGTGTTTCAAAACCACTGTATTACTTAAACTTCATGTGTTTGACAGTCATGTTTGAAGACCTTATCCCCATTGAAGACAAAATTGTGTTTACAGCGATTAGCTACTTGGTGTGCTAATGTTGAAGAACCCAAAACACTCATTTTTACATCTTACTTTTTTTCAAAAGGGAAGACTGCTTCCCGGACACGTCGAGAGTAGTGTTTGTGGGCAGTTGGGGGTGGTCTTTGAAAAGAAGCGACTTTCAAGCCAAAATTAACGGGACCGGAGTGGAGTGGTCTTGATTAACGGGTGAGTTCCTTTTTATGGACTAATGCATTTTCTTTTCTATGTTTCCTTTTTCAGCTCTAGTTTATTTGAAAAAATTTGTTCCTTCTGAGCAATGAAGGTTGTGGTACGCACAATTGTTCAACAAATACGAAGACGGAAAATCACATGTAATCGATCATCTAAGAAAAAACCTGGCGTTGTAGGAGAAAAACCGTCACTTGTAAGTTAAAAACTTCCCTCACTCAGCATCACTGGGGTGCCAAGTAGTGAAACTGTTGTGGACCACCTACTGGCACTCGGGTTGGATGGGACCATTCATGAACTGACGTATTTCTAAATAAGGGAACGTGTATCTTTCGACACCCCCACTCAAAATTTAATGGAAAATCTCTGTACACCTACAGATACAGCAAGTGGAAGGAGATAGTCAGTTTGTTTAATCCGAGAGCCTCAGCGTCGTATCATTTGGAATTTGCCTGTCCAGAACATCGATGATACAGTTTTGGTTGTTTCCACCTGGATACAACGAAGCTCTCAAGTTAAAAGTTTTATTGTTATCCTCATCTCCCTCACCACAGAACAACTTAGTGTTCATGAACCGACACATCTCCATATACTTTTTGAACGAACAAAAAGAGGTTTGAATGGAAATCGGATTGAAAACCTTGTACGGACGTTTATTTTGTATTCCAGATGTTCACACTGAAGACATACAAGATCCCGCTGTACATTTCTTCTGATAAAACTAGGGTCTTTTGTGAAGTTGAATAATATGAACGGCTGGATTCATGTATACTTTGAGTAGGGGACTCTCCGGTAGGATTCAGGTTTTTCAGCTGCTTGCACAGGGGTGCAAAGTGTTAGAAAATTCCCATGGTAGTATCCATGACATCTCAGCTTGTGTGAATCCACCCAGTAATTTAGCATTGCATTTAATGTGCATTTATCCCTCCATACATTTAAATGAACGTAGAGTGGAACAAGGGCGAAGTACTATTGCTTAGCTGACTCTTATCCCAATGAAGATTCAGCAAAAAACTCCCTGAGGAAGGAATCAGGAGTGGAAGCGGCTGTATATCATCAACTTTTTTGTGGCATCTTCACAGAATGATAAATGTATGATCCGGGATTGCTTTCCGTGGTATTTAAGAAGATAAGGTGTTGCGTTCAGAGCTTCTCTGAGAGGAACTTTGCCAAACCATTAGGCATTTTGTAGCTGGAAGTCACATTTTTATTTGGTCTGTCCAAAGTCCCAACACCCGTAAGACCTTCATGAAACTGCTCGAAATTGACTGTCTCTGGAGGATATCATTTCAACCGGCAGACTGTAAAGCCCATCCGGAATTAGATACTGCTGCGGAGAGGAAATGGAGAGAGCTAGGCGAACGAAGGGGACTTACTTTTATCAAGTTTGTAGGTAAAACCATTCTAAAGTAACTCCTGGATCGTGCAACGAATGTTTCTAGTTCGCGTTTGCGTTCTTGGGATGAAAAGGTAATGCAATAAGTTGAACATCTCCAGGGCTACGAATTTGAAATTGTTAATCGACCTGCTAGTGAAACAGATTATATCTGTTCTCGCGCTGACACATGAACTTCAGAATATCGTTTTTAACCTACTGTGTGACGGCAGCCCAAACCTGTTAAATGCGTACTTAGCTGAATATCTAGGTGAATCGAGTTGCGTAACAGTTTTGTCTGAATTTGTTTTCTAAAGCTAGTTGTTGCACTTCGACCATTGTTTTGCCGCAAGCCCATGAATGCAGCTGAAAATCATGCAACTGCTTAGGAGTAACACTAGTGGTGGTCAGAAGATCAGAAATGTATACCAAAAATGATGTTTACTCTCGTCCTTCGAGCGTCTAACGCACCGCAGCCACATGAGAAGTGAATGTCAGTTAGAAGTAGTGAAGTTTGGCGAAGTTCATTCACCTGAGCATACGTTTGACCATGATATTAAGGCAATCTGAAACAATAAAGTAGCAGAAACTGTTATTTGTAAGCTAACTTGGTGAAGCAAGACTGGTATGACTGATATGTTTCGCGCGCAGTAATAGCGCGCTGTCTAGTTCCTTGCTCCAAACCGTTATTAAATGTTGAAACGCCAAATTTAAGACAGTTTTGTTGGCACAACTTCCAGTGTGAACACTCCCTAAGAGAAACTGATAAGCACATTTTTGGATTTGTTGATATCGGAAATGACAGTCCACCTGCCGCACCCTATACCGGCAGACACTGGTAGGTAAGGGAAGGTGTTGCATACACTTTCCAGACTTGGCGTTTACAATTTATCGATTCGATATGGCATGAGGGAAACAAAAACTCTTTTTTCAAACATCAGATTGTTTGGTTCTAATTTTGAGGAGCATAGTAACCTAGTAACCTAACGGAAATGGAAAACTAGATTTTCGTGATTGATTTGTGGATTTCGACCAATTTTCTGACACTCCATGACACCAGCTATAAAAAAATCTCGTGCGACATTATTATTTATCCACATTCGTAATAAGGCAAATTATTGAATGCTGAGAGCAAATTAAATATCAGGGTCGGGTAGGTTTTCATTTAAAATTGAACGTTTTTTGAAATTTGTATTTTTTGGTAAATGGAAAAATGACTTTGCTTTTGAAACGAGGTGTTCAAACATTCAATCCGTTTCTGTCTTCAACCAATACGAATGTAAGTACATGTGATTTTAGATGTAGAATTCCATACCAGTGTTTGCACAACACTGAATTAAGGTTGCTGACAGGAGAGCTATGGCTCAACTAGGAATAACGGATGATGAAGATTTAGAAGCTAAATTGACCTATTTTAAATCAATAAATCAATTAACCCAGCTCCTCACTGGCCTGATTGAGCGGGAACAAAATTAACACTGCCGATCTTAGATAGGTGCCTTGCTCTGATGCGTTCAAGTGAAGGGAACTCATAGGAACTCATTGTTCACCCTTTGTCCTGGTAACTGAATAATCCGTTTCACACTAATCTTCCCACTACATGAGCCACAGCATATTTGAGGCTTCTTAAAATCTCGGGACCCCAAAATCCAGTTGATAGCGCTAGACCTTTTATTAACCATCAACACCGCTGATACCAATGAATGATTATTCAGGCAGGAGTGAAGCAGTCAGAAAAAATCAACCCACCGTGAACAAGGCTAGAAATATTCATACACTTTACTAGTAACACTGTGTTAAAAAGGATGTACGCAAAAGGTGTGAGTTCTTCAAAGCCCTAAACAATATGTACCTACTTGCACTTTTGTTGTGACCTGGAACACAGTGACGAAAAACTGGGTGCAATGGAATGCTGTAGTCGCTCCATGTTTACCTGCTACGCAGCACCCAAGCCGTCTTTTGTCAGTGTGTTAGGAAGGGACGTTTGTTACCGTACTGAGAAAACCGTGATCAGACTAATACTTGGTAATTGGCTCACAGTTGGACCTTCTCCACAATAAAAATAGGGTTTTCGCATTTAAAAAAACAGCGAAAGCTATGTTCGGTGCCGAAATTTCCGGTTGGACCACCAAAATACTAGTGATTCGGAAGTAACGATTACCTTGAAAACTGGTTCGGTACTCAAGGTAGACAAAATGACTCATATGTACTGTGATATGGGACAGCGGATATTTTTGCGGAGAAAAGCTAAACTTACTCGTATTACATTTTCAAAGCTCTGTTTCTAAGGCTTACAAAGAATTCAACGTTTCTAGTGTGATACCTAAATTTTATGCACTAATGTTTGTTTTTCAAGATTCTTACACGACAGTTTTTTTACATTCCAATGTTTTCTCCTTTTGCAGCTAAAATTAAAGGTGTGCAAATGCTTCGTTCTTGAACGGCATCCCTCCGGACGGGTTGTGTCGATATGTTGTAAATTTTACCTGTGCCTACCAGAAATGCCCGTTCGCGATTTAACGCTCTAAAAAGGCTGACCACATAGCAATATGGGTAGCACCGTTGCTCAGGCAGGTATCCTAATCTGTTTGGAGTAGAACATTCAACCAAGTTTCGAGAAAGAGTGGACGGATTCTTTACTTGTTGTAAACAAAAATGGTGTTGCTATTCGCGCTAGCTGAATAGGATTTTCCCAAAAACTTCAGTTGTGTAGGCTTGGGATAAAAAGTTTGCGAATCGATCGTATCTTCCAGTCTTCCTTTGGATTCCTACCCACAAATTATCGCTACTTTTTAGCTTTCTCTTTAATGAATCGCTGAAATTTCCGCTTTTTTCAGTGAAGTTGGGCTATTAGATGTTTTTATACATTTAGTGATTTCAGTAATATTTTCAGCTTTTCTACAAGCCATGATTTTCACTTTGATTGCAACATCTCTGTTCTAATGCCTCCAAAAGTTTCATTAACCCCCTCTAGCTCCGGATTTAAACTCTTCTTATCACGACTTGGCTTGTTACAAAAAATGAGTGGTGGGGTGTCAACTCACAGCCTGAGAAGGGCTGATCAATTCGTCAAGCAACTTATAGTTCCAAAGGTCAGTAAATACTCTATTTTCTTGAGGATCACTATAAGAGTAACCCTCTCTAGAAACCTCGTTCGATCTCTTCACAACAAGGTGGCGTGTTCCAAACTTCCCCATCACTCCTTTATCTACTCATACTGAAGCTTTTATCTGTGAAACAAGACCGTATTCTGGAAATTATAACCCTGTGTGTCCTTCCACACTAGATGTCTTGTTATCCTTGGGTATTCCATGGACTGTTAAGAACGTTTATTTTTTACTACAAGGCCACTAATGCAAGCTTCAGTTTCAGTAGTAAAAATTTTGTAACGAATGTTCAATCGTCCTGTTGAATTTAGCTTGACCTTATGATAATTCCCCCATTCATTTGCTTACTCCGCCTATACACTTTTGATCTCCAGTTGTTTTGGGTATTCGTACCCGCCACTCACCTTGTCGCAGAGTCCGTCCTTTCCGACACTTGTGTATTGACATGTGTCTGTGTGTGAATGTGGGCTGCTGACCGACTTACACATGCGCGTTCATGTTCCGTTTGATGAGCCCGCCTTGACTTGTTTTCTCATGGGTTCCGTGTGATCACAGGTCAAATGAGACCGTCATCGGAAGGAACGATGAGCCGTCATTCCGCTCGCCGTTGTTTGGTGTGCGAACGTTGACAGTGCACTGCCCCGGTCAGTGACAGACCTGTGAAAGTTTTAGCGTTACGAACGTAAACAATTGAGGTTTGTTGTAAACATTTGCTTACCCTTGTGTAAATAGTACCGTAGACAGCCCACGACCGGTTTCGCCCTTCTTGGGGCTCATCAGGTAGGCGCAGTTCCCCGGTTTCCGTCAACCTTATGTTCTACTTGAAACCAAATTTCACGAAATTGGCGAATATACGCTTATCTGCAAACTAATTCGTTTCTTTCAAGAGACTCACCTGGAACCCAGCTGAATCTCTCGTTTATGATGTTCTCAGGCAACTGAATGTGCTGCACCAGGCCGCCTCATGTTTCAGTCGCTACGATATTTTGAAATATCGCGATACGTGTATATTTGTAATGTACTACTCATAAGGTTGCTGAAAATCCATCGACAGCCCACGACCGGTATCGCGATTACAGATTTCTTGCTGCATATTCACTCTTTCACGCACAGGAATCCCTTCAAAACCCGCACATTAGTTTCTGGACTTGTCTGCTTGTTGGCAACATAGGCGCACTCAAAAGTTCACAGGTGAATTTATCTCAAATAATTTACCAGTCCTTCGAATGCACAGCCGTTGGCCTTCAGTAAATAGTTCCAGCATCTTCACTATATACGTTCTGTGAAAACGAAGAAGCCGATGCCGGATGGATGATATCAGTTTAGTTCCACTTCATATCATTAGTTTGCCATTCAACGTAGATGCGTAAAATTTCAGGGGGGGATCCCCTGACAGGAACTAAAGAAAGAAAAGCATTCAAATACTCTGATGTTTTTAATGAGATGTTGATGGAATCGCAATCACATACAACTAAGTGTTGACCTCCATGCAATCGAATAATGTGATATGGTAGTACTCTCCATTTTTATCCCGGGCTACCTGTCAAAATCGTTTCGAAACAAGTCTTCAGTGATGAAGAACGACAGTAACTGGTGCGGAGTAAATCCTGATTTCCTAAACAAACTTTATGTCATTTCAAATAAAGACGTGATTCTTAATATTTTTTTGACAATCATCAATCATGCAGTTATTTGTTTCCTTTCGAATTTCTGCTTGCGGGGCAGCTTCATTGCTGCACACCACTTTGGAAGTTGATTTGGTCATGTTGGCATCAGTTGGGTTTGTTTGACCTCAGGGCTTTCGGTCCATACCAGATATGTCGACCAGCCCATGGACAACAAAGCTGCGGTAGGATGGTCCAAGAGAATCATAGTCGTTCAAGTGAAATTATGTGCACTAGGCAGAAGGACGGGAGGAGTATTTTCAGGACCATACTCCCAGCGACTGTTTCAAGTAACGTCACGGATAGATCCCGACTGCTAACTAGAAATCGATTTCTAACAAAGTCTAGTGTAGACTGCGTATAGTACTGACGTTTGTCACAGCACGGCATGAAGAGTGAAGCGTCTCGAATTTCGGAGATTAACAGAGACATTAAATTGATAGTGTAAATTTGACAAAAACTGGTTTGGTGGAAACATCTTTACGGCGAGTCCTTCGTATCAACTAAACAGACAAAAATGGCCAATCCAAAGTAGCGTTTTGCAAGCGGAAAATTTTGCGCATCATTCATTTTTAAGGAAAGGTTGACCATGGCATCCGTGACGTATAGATCTTTTGATTAATTGATTGCCGTAAACCTACAGTCCCAGGCACCAAAACATATTCTTTTTCGACTCAAGCAGCTTGAAGACATTTTTTCTGCGCACGGCTCTACACGGTATAAAATATCACCCATTACACTCACATCGACCGATTTTGGTTCGTGGAATATTTGGAATGGATGAATGTGGCAAAAATGGAATTGATGAGTAAAAATTTTGAGAACGAAACATGCTACACCGCTATCAGATCCTGTGACAGTCCAGAAATCTTTGTTGTTTCCACTTCTGTAGGGACAACATCTCTTGAATTGCACCTGAATGATAGAAACCAACTTCATTTTGATTAGTTGCCATTTTTGTGGAACTATACATTTTGAACAGCTGCGCAGTCGATATCACGATTTTCGAGATCAGTTCTGAAAGCAACTGTGCTGTCAAACTATCGTTCAATAGTACAGACTGTACAGGGCTGAAGTGAGGAAACAACCCCGCTTACTCCCCAAATCAACTTCGAATTTCGTTGGGATAACTGGGCGGGTCGTTTTTCATCACACTGTAAAGGGTTCGACGGGTTTGGAATATTTGTTCGGACAGCCGGATGGTCTTATGACAACCTAGAATGCTTTTATGCTACCGGTGAGAAAATGACAATTCTGATATTTCGTGTGCTCCCACTCTATTCGAACCAAATTTCTCCGTCGTTTACTGATATTTAATGCACTTTCCTTTTTTGGAGAAATTGCATTTTTGGAAGGCCGATTTCGGTTAAGTCCCCGTTAGTGTAACCTAACGGAAGCCCCTCCCGGAATGGGTCAGTCTTGATCCGTTTCTTACGGTGGATCGCATGGGTAGCGGAGAAATTGTTAAATTTCAACCGAGGTTTAATCCTGCCAGTGAAATGCACATATTATATAAAGCTGAAGAATGGACCGCAAATATCTTTCTTTTTTTCAGCAACCTTGTGAGTAGTTTCCTTTATGAAAATAACAGCGGGATTGTTTTAAGCTATTTTCTCGTATTAAAATAGATTCCTCCTGTGGATGCAAAGTTCTGATCGGTCATCTAGCGTACATTTGTTCCATCCCTGAACTACTTCACCTCATATTTAGGCCAATAATTCTAAGGTCTAATTGCCCAGTGGTCTTCAATTTGAACACCGTGTAACGAGCATGAAAGCGGCGCATTATACAGACTTCAGTGGCACTTCTAAAAAATTCACAAACCTCTTGGCTAAAGTGGTATCTGCTCTTCGGTTTTCCTCATCCCAGAAAACCTTGCCTAACTGCAAGTTTGTATGTTAATCTCAGTGTTTCGCTTGTTCTCGACAAACGCTACCCATAACTCCAAAGTAGGTGTGTCTTCCTAATAACGTTTTGAACAGTTTATGCGTGAAACTTCCTGGCTTCGTTATTAAACTGCCGAAAGCGGGCTGATTGATCGTTCCATCATGTCTGTTCTCCCCTTTCATCTGGGCAAATTCGCTCCCTAAACTCCACAAGTGGAATACATAACCTAAAAACTTCCCAGTCATGTATTTTTTTGTGGTAGAGTGTCACTGGGTAGAGTGGTAGCACTGAGTGTCAAATGACAAAGTGGAGTGGAAGAACACATCAGAATGGCTTGTTGTTCATCTTATTCAGATGCGTTCACTGTGAACCTAACCGGGATTAGTTTTGGCTTTCATCGTTAGCTTTTCGGAGATTCTTGAACCACTATCCAGAAAGCTGATGAAAAAATTAAGGACATGGATAAATTAGTGTGTTTTTGACAAACAAAACAAAGAGATCGGAACTATTTGAGCATGAGCGGTTGTTGTGGACTTTCGTCCCAAAGCCGTCGAACTCCTATTTCTACACAGTATTTGTCAGTTTTCTCTTCATGAGACGCAGACAGGCAAAACAGCTCCCACTCCTCAAAGTATTATTAGTTGTGAAGTCGCTTAGGACACTTCAGTAGTTACTACCAGTTTTTCTATTCTTGAGACTCATTGTGTGGATGTAATTCCTCACGTTTCCACGAATCAAGCTTTTAAGCAAGTTGTACCCAAGTGGCAAACACATTTACGAATTACATTGCCCTGGCGTTCACCGCTAACACTAGCTTCATTTTAAAATGGTTGTATCTAACTTCCGACTGTTTTTTAGGTTGGCATGGTTGGTTAGGGAATTATTCTTCACTATGGTATAAAAAAGTGGAGACCATTACATGGTTGAGTGAAGTTTGGGAACATTCGCTTGATTCGGTCAATCTGTTGAAGTATTTGCCACAGGCCACAAATATGTAAAACTTCTAAATCGGGGAATGTGATTAAATGACCAATTTCTTATTATACTAAATCCAGGCAACAAGTAGAAACAAACCAAGATCCAACTGTGGTGGGGTTGTGCATAACTATTTGATAGAGAAATTTCTAATTTGGGCCCAAAGCTTGCATCTAGGCTGCGAGGTTTCTTTGACATGGTTGGTTCCTCTCGCCTCCTTCAGAATTCATTTCATTTTTACCTTGAAGAGATGTCGAATATGAACGTTATGACTACATGACTTGGGATTCCTAGCTTCCGATAATAAAAGAAAAATAACTAAACTGGTTCTCTAGGTGGTCTGATCGTTTGGACGCACTACTGCACCGCTGTAACATGCGTGCAAATTTAAGCAGACAACTTTGACATCCATTGCTAAAAAACTGTATAGACAAGGTAGGAAATGCCGACAGAAAGGTGATCATAAGGGGATGGAACTGTGGCAGTGGTAACGGATATAAATAAAACAACCTAATTGTAAGGACAGTGAAAGCCGGTATACCGAGAGCGAGGTGTACGGCAGTCAGACAGGTAAATAAATATCACGGGGAAACTCTTTACAGAACTTCGAGGCAATCCATACCATGAGGTGAAGTATAAAAGCAGAGTACTCAAATTTTCGCTATTTGAATATGTCATGTAGATGCTACTCAACGGCCTAACTTCGTAAACTTTTTCGTGGGTTCCTACTCAGTATATAAAGAAACTCTTACAAATGTTGACCCTACACTCTTTCTAGCGAGATTATCTTAATTCTCTCGTGTTGTCTACCAGCCTTTCCTCTGGCAACCATGACAAATCATTTTTCTTTCCTGCGACTTTCCTCAGATATTCGAGACTAAATAAGCCCAAATGTTCAAGTCATCCTTATTGGTTGCTGAACCGATTCCTGAGATTCAATTTGTGGCCATCAGTTGAGCACAGTTCAAAATAGCACTGAACACCGCAACAGGCTCTTGCTTTAACCACGATGGCTATAAAACCGGAGGGAAGTTGTGCTCTGTGGTAATACGTTTGTCCCCCACCACTTCCAGATTTTTTTAACCGGATTTTTGGTTGATCGTCCTTCTCACAAATTCAATGGAGCTTTCCTCAAACGCCAAACTGACCTGTCATCGTTGTTGACGAAGCTGCAATTGTGCATTCGCGATGAACTGACGAATAAACGGAATGGTCAATACGTTGTGTTGAATAATTGTTGTGCCGCTCAGTGCAGGTGAGAATTTATGTGCGCAGCTACTTGCGCGTAGTCACATGACTGCCTCCAGTTACCATTATCTGCTCTTAGAGAACACTACTTGGTTGATCTCTAAGAGGAGTGTATATTCTAGGGTTTTATTAGTGCCGATGCGCGTCATCAGTATTGACCGTTAATAAAAACATATTATCGACGATTCGGAGGTATCCAGGATGTTGACTCGCGGACGATGGATATCCAATAACAATCATAAGGATTCCTTGGATAT